TTATGTTGCAGCTTGATTCATGCAATTTTTAATATCTGGTAATGTTTCAAATTGTACAATTGTATCATTAATATCACATGCAAGTAAATTTTTGCTGAATATTATCCAACAATGGTTGCAGCAGTACATTGACAGGGAGTTGCTACAGTTCAGGCTGGATTCAGAAGAGCACATGGAACAAAGGATGTCAATGCTAATGTCAGAAGGATTTGGGCTCAAAGCAGAGAATACCAGCAAGATGTTTACTTGAGTTTTATTGACTATACAAAGTCACCAGACTGTGTAGATTATAACAAGCTACTAATAGGTTTGAGAATTATAATGCTTCTCATGAGAAACTTGGACATGGAACAAAAGGTATTTGTGCCAAGAGAACAGGAGAATGCTGTTAAAATCACAAAATGTTTGTGTTGGGCTTGTGTGCTCTCACCATATTTATTCAATCTGTATGCCTAGTAAATGGAGAATCTGGATTACATGATGAAGAATGGAGGCATCAGAATTGGAGCATGGTCTATCAACAATCTGTGACAAGCAGATGGCACACACTTGCTTACTACAAGGGAGAAGGGCTTGCAGCACTTGATAGTGAAGATCAAGGATAGAAACCTTCAATATGTACTGCAACTCAATGTAAAGGAAACAGAAATTGTGAAAAATGAATTAATAGGTTACATGATAATAAATAGAGAAAAGATTGAAGTGTCCAGGATTTTGGCATGCTGTGATCCACAATAAATGCTCATATAAGCAACAGTCAAGAAACCAAAGGATGCATTACATTGCATACATCTGCCATTGTAGATTTATTTAATGTTTTGAAAAGCAAGGGTGTTACTTTGAGGACTGAGGTGTTCTTGACCCAAGCCATGTATTTTCAAACTCCTCATATGTATGTGAAAGTTGGACATTGAATAAGGAAGACTGAATAAGAATCTATGCATTTGAATTATGCTGGTGAAAAATATTGAAAGTACTATAGTTGTCAAAAGCACTAACAAATCTCTCTTGGAAGAATTACAGCGAGTGTTTATTAGAGGTAAGGATGGTGAGACTGTCTCAAATACTTTTGACATCATGTCAGGAGAGACCAGTCCCTAAATGGGGACATCAAGCTTGGTAAGATCCAGGCAGAGAAAAAGAGGAAGGCCCTCACTAGAGAGAGTGACACAGTGACTGAACCAATGGCCTCAAACATAAAAACCATTGTGAAGTTGGCCAAAGGGAGCAAGTGTGTTCTGTTGTACATATGGCCTCTATGAGTGAGAACAGAGGAGATTCCTAGCAACAACAACATGACTTCTCTAACCATCAACATTTTCAATATTTAAATGTGTTATGTGCATTTATTACATTGCTTTTAGGTAAATTAATTTTGATCACTGAAGGTCTTTGTCTATTTTCAATGCAAAACGGGTATGTTTACAGAAAGTATCAGAGAGAGCTGTGTTATGGGGTGTTAATTTGATATTCCAGTAGTGTTATCTGGATAAACACTGTAAAGACAAAGTGTTAGGTGGAATTCTATGACAACTGTACTAGAAAATTACAGCTCTTTTGCTAGCAAAGTCATCTAAGTGGCAAAAGGAATTCTGGAAATAGGCTGGATATTTTTAAAACAACCCAATGGTTCATACAGACTTTTGTCCCAAATGAGTCAGTCCTACTTACTATTAAAAATAAGTACATTGCATTGCAATCACACCCACTTTATATCAACCAAATTACATAGCAAAAGCAATATTTTACCACACATAACATTCCTGTATATTTATAAATCATTAAATTATTCCCACACAAGAAAAAACACTATTGATAGATATGTATTTGGAAACAATTTCATTAAGTTAGTAAAGCTAAAATAAATATCTTTCAATCATTTGGACTGTGGTTTCATTAGATTTTGAGAGCAATCATTGCCCCTTATAACATATTGAAAGACTTATGATGAAGAGTTAATAACATAGGAATTGTCATTGTGTAAATACTGGGAATTAACTACAGATATTGCTTTCACCACTCTTACATGCATTAATATTGTGTTTGTGTGTGTGTGTGTGTTATTTCAGTTCGGTGCCTTGGAGTTGGGCCCCATTCCTCCCAGCCCAGGCACAGAAGAAAGAAGTACTGTGTGGTTCAGCACCATACTAACAATGTTTAGTATGTTTGAGATACATTTTCAGCGACTGTGTCAATCCATATCATGAGGATTTACCATGGTTGCTTCTAAATAGCATTCTGAATCTATATCTTCCAACACAGATTTGTTCAACCTCTGGCAATCTATGGCATATATACTTTTATCCAACTTCATAATCCAAAATTATAGATTCTTCTTTTGCCTTCCTCATTCATTGTCCAGTTTACACATGTATATAAGTCACATGCCTATAAGAAAATACTATGGCTTGAGTCAGGTGCACTTCTATTTCTAAACTATCATCACTGCTTTTAACAAATTATTGAGGTATTTTGCAGATTAACGCAACGTAAAATGACCTTAAAGCTGGAAATTTTGGCTACTTTGATATTTTATCTGTTGATCAAAGTGGTTCTTATTGGTACAGTTTGAGGATTTATTTGTTTATGTTTCAGTTGTAATCCCCACTAAAGAGTTTACTCTTTGATCTTCATCAGTAAGTACTTCAACTTTTCTTCATAACTCTACACAATTCATTTCATGTCGGATTAATGTATCTGAACAATTAAGCTGATGAACCGGGTCATGTAATAAAAGAATACCACATTAGGATTGGAAGAAGGCT